ACAAGGAGCACCCGGTCCCCACAAGGCTGCATTTTCCAACTGGGCCCCACGATGTAGGAAAAACAAGACCACACACACACACACACATATCCCTGTGTGGACAGTGGATTGACTTCATTTTCTGGTAATTTTATAGTCTACCCATGACCACTTACCCTAAAACTAACCTAAACTCACTCCTTGGTCCTAAATCTACCCCCCCCCCCCCCCAGCACTTGAAATTATCATCCATACTTGTGGGGACTGGGCTTTGGTCTCTTCAATGCACATTCGGTCCCCACAAGGCTACCCTTTTTAGGAAAATGGTTCCCACAATGTAGCAAAACTGCCCCCCCCCCACACACACACACACACACACCTCACTCTCCCTGGTGTACATGTCCTGCAGCTGCTTGTCGTATCAGAGACTTGTTGAAAAGTTTAAAGGTTTATCTTTTGAACAGATGGCTTCTAAGAACTGTAGAAAGTTTAACTGTCTGAATTACAGTTTGGAACCAAACATCGTGGCATCATTCATCTTCTCATGGTGTGGTTACACAGTTTTAGTGTACAGTTATTTGTATGCTACCACTCTTTGTTCTGGTCAGGGGCAACAGGAAATGGGACTGCAGGACAAATCAGAGGTGCAGTTAACATGAAGCACGTGTTTGTCTCACAGCCCATCTGTGAACTAATCCAAGCATGAATCACAAGCGAGCACGTACTGTAAGTCTGTGGAATGTTCCGGTGGTTCTGGATGTTCCACTGACCGCAAGAAGCAACAAGGTCAAACTCTGAAGTTCCTGCAGACCCCTGCTAACAAAGTGCCATTGTCCGCCTGACTGAGTGCTGCTGCTTCAGAACTTCAGAGATGTTTGGAGGACATGTCTGTGGGGGTCAGAGACAGAGTTCTAACCGTCCTGAGAAAAACCCAGACAATGTCCATGTGACAGGACGTAGGGCTGAATGGGACCTTCTGTGAAAGGACGGAAGCAGTTCAGACTCATTTCCTCACAGCTTACAAAGTTAAAAACAAACACTCTAAAGTATTTTAGGTGATGAAGACAATAAAGAATGTTTCATGTTCAGGAAAATTGGTATGAGTAACCAAAACCAAAAACTTACTCTATTTTAACCCTGCAGTCCTCAAACTGTACGACCATTCACTCACTTATTTACTATAAAATACAGCAATTCAAATCTCTGCAAGAACATCACAGAGTTTATGAACTGATGAAGAACATGTCATCGAGTGGATACATTAGGTGAAAATTTCCAATATATTTGTTTCAAACCAGAAGATATAGCTAGATATTGTTTGTACTTTGTAGTCACCAGTTTCAACTCCTCACTTTTATGTTTGGTTATGTTCAGACGTATGACAGAATAAATAAGTCTATAAGTTACTTTATTTGTACTTTTGTAACTAATCTGATCTAGCCTATAATCTTATTTGTTTGTAAAATTGAAATTTGTTATTTTGTTTTGTGCAGTTTTATTCAGAAGAAAAAAGTGGTAAATATAATTATTTGACTAAAACTAAAAGGTTTTTGGGATGTAAGAGTCGGATATTAATGTATTAATTGTTCCGGAGAAAGTTTGTGTCAATCTGAGGGTAATAGATTTCTTTTAAGTATACAGATGTATCATCGGACTATCACGTAAGGAAACGATTACTAATAATTAGAGATGGGATTAATAGCTCTTTGAGGGGATCCTGATCTTGATCTGTTTATTTCATAGAGCCATTCAATTACGTCATCCCGTAGAGTGAAACAACATCGCGTACGGCATATGTGATGACATCATCGCATCACTGTTGCTGCTGGGATGTTCTGTGAAACAAATAAAGACAGAATTCTATTCTTCTAACCTCTATCGGCATCTCAGACACCCCACTGGACTGGTTTAAATTTTATCTTTCTGACCGCACTCAGTTCATACAGCTCAGATCCTTCCACTCCCAGTCTTCACCCATTTCCACTGGTGTTCCCCAAGGTTCTGTACTCAGGCCTCTACTTTTCATAATCTATCTGCTCCTGCTTGGCCACATCTTCCATAAATTTGGTATCCATTTCCACTCTTATGCCGATGACACAACTCTACATTTCGACAAAACTGAACTCCACCTTCTCATCTTGCACTCTTACCGACTGCCTCAGTGAACTCAATAACTGGTTCTCCAACAATTTCCTCCAACTAAACCATAACAAAACTGAACTCCTCCTTGTTGGGACAAAAAACTCCATTTCCAAATCCCAGCATCTTCTCTTCACTCTTAACAACTCTGTTCTTTCCCCCTCACCTCAGGTCAAGAACCTCGGTGTCATCCTTGACACCACACTCTCTTTCAACTTACACATTAACAACGTGACACAATCTGCATACTTTCACCTTCGCAACATTAACCGTCTCCGTCCTTCACTCACTCCACGYTCCACTGCCATCCTTGTACACAGCCTGGTAACATCCAGGATTGACTACTGCAACTCCCTACTGTTTGGCCTCCCCAGTAAATCCCTTCACAAACTACAGATGGTTCAGAACTCAGCAGCCCGTGTAATCACTCAAACTTCATCCTCTGCGCACATCACTCCAGTCCTACAACAGCTCCACTGGCTCCCAGTTAAATCCTGCATCATCTTTAAAATTCTCCTACACACCTTCAAAGCCATCCACAATCTTTCCCCTCCTTACCTATCTGACCTCCTGAACATCTCCACACCCTCCTGCTCTCTAAGATCTGCCTCCTCCCTCCAACTCTCAGTACCTCCTGCCCGCCTCAGCACCATGGGGAACAGAGCTTTCAGCCGCTCTGCTCCGCAGCTCTGGAACTCACTACCCCATGGATTACACAATACAACCTCTCTCTCCCTGTTTAAGACTGGCCTGAAGACACATCTTTTCGAATTAGCCTACCACTGTTAAYTCYRATTTTCAACATATGKCTGTTTTTGTTGTCCTCACTTCGATGTTTCTCCCCCACAACTCTATTGTTCAATTTGTCTACATAATTGTATTTTATTATATGACTGTTCTGTACTCCACATTTCTGTTTCTCCCACACTACCCTTATCATTATATGTATCTAAATTTTTGTTTTTTGTTCTTTCATTTGACTTTTTTTCTATTGTACAGTCTCCTTGGGTGTCCTAAAAGGTGCTTTATAAATAAAATACATTATTATTATTATTATTAATTGTACAGTGTCCTTGGGTGTCCTGAAAGGCACTTTATAAATAAAATGCATTATTGTTGTTATTATTATATAATATGATGATTTGAGAATCATTTTCAACTTATATTCAACTGAATACACTACAAAGATAAAATATTTGGGGTATATTCACACTAGGAAAGTCCTTTGGTCCACTTGCTTGGTCTGGACCAAAAGCAGACTTTTTTTTCCAGTGTGATTTGAAATCACATTGTGCTTTGTTACAAGATTATATTTTATAAACAAAGTGGTGACAACCATTGATCCAACGGGACAGAAATGACGGGGGTCAGGACAGAGCACAGACCCAGAAAGGAAGGCGGTGCTGTTAAAACAACTACAATACCATTTAGAATATTAGGAGCAGCTCATTCATTGTCGGTTTCATGATAATATACTTCAAATTTTGGGAAGACGTTGGCAAATGGGTGCCGCAACCCAAAGGAGACAGGATGCACCATGTACCCTGACTCACAATGGCTCATTGAAGCGTAACGGTATGGAGTTCCATTAGTGCCAAAAATATGTATTTCTGTCTATGTAAGATGTATATGTATTGGGATATGTAAGGTGATATGCTAAGTGATGTGTTATGTCATATGTTATGTGTAAATGTAGGGTGAAATGTGAAATGTTATGTGTATATGTTAGGTGATGTGTTAGGTGATAAGTAAAGTGATATGTTAGGTGTATATGTTAGGTGATAAGTAAAGTGATGTTAGGTGTATATGTTAGGTGATAAGTAAAGAGATATGTTAGGTGTATATGGAACTCCATATAATGGTAGCATTAGAAACATTGAAAGGTTAATTGTTACCATGTTACTTAGTAACAGTGGCTCGTGAAGTCCAAAAAGGCGCATGTTTCATGTAGTTAGCTTGGGTTACGGTTGGTAAACAGATTTCCCATTCAAGGAAACATTCCTTTCAAGGTTTCATTAAGATTCCTTCTGCTGTTCACAAGAGCTTTGCAAAGCAGAGAAATCTAAAACAGGGGTCTCCAACCAGCAGCTCGTGAGCTCATTTAATGTAGCTCTTCAGTGCTTATGAAAAATTAGGAGAAACAAAATTTAATTTGTCACTGGCCAACCAAACTTTAATTTAATTACAATCAATCTATAGATATCCCTTCCCCTTGGTTGTCAATCAAACTGTTTATGTAAATTCAGTGTTTTTKGTGGTGGTTTCATGTGAAGTGAATACAATGTTTTTTGTACAAATCAAGCTTATTCCAACGGTTTAAGTTTAAAATGAAATGTTGCAAAAAGTAGCTCTCGGACAGTCCTGATGCATGTCAGTAATCCAGGTAGAAAAAATCAAAAAGAAAAAATAAGTAGGTCCTCTGGATAGGTTCTTTAGTGAAACATTTTGTCGTTTCGTTAAGCGATGGCCCTCTTTTGCATGTGACTAACCTGTTTGTCCACCATGTGGAGGCAGTGCTTTTAAGGCTGAGTTCACCTGAAACTCATMAGRCTGAAGAAGTCTCTTGGAGGAGAGATGAAACGTTTCACTAAAGAAAAACCCATCCAGAGCACCTACTGATTTTTTCTTTTTGATTAGCTCTTGGACGATTTCATTTTGTGAAAGTAGCTCTTAAGGAAGAAAAGGTTGGAGACCCCTGATCTAAAGACACATTCAAAGACATTTCAAAGCAGCAGGTGATAACGACAAGATCTTCAGTGAAAATGGAAACCACAAAGTCCAGTCCATTTGGTTCCAGATGCCAGCCTGCTGTTGTTGAACTCTGCATTTGTTTCTTTCTTCTTTAACTTCACTTACATATTGTGTTTGTCTTCCCTCCACAGGTGTGTGGAAAAGGTTCTTTCCTAAGTGAACAAAACATTTGTTTACCATGTAACTGCAAGGGGCATGCTGACTTCTGTGAAGATATTACTGGTGTTTGCATCGTAAGTGACTCAGCAGGCCTTTTGGTAGACCACCTGAGTGAACACACTGCACCTTGAATAACACATGTCCTCCTTCAGAACTGCAGGGACCACAGCACAGGTGATTTCTGTGAAATGTGTGAAGATGGCTACGTTCTGACTCCCAGTCAGGACGGGCGACATGCCTGCAGAGCTTGCCCCTGCCCCCTTTCCATTCCCTCCAATAAGTAAGTAAGATTGTTTCTGTGGAGGCAGCCGTGATGCAGATTGATGGTGTGTAATCTCTGACTTCCTGTCCTGTGTGTGTTTGACCAGCTTCGCGTTGCATTGTGACAGAACAGCTGCCACACTGAGGTGTAAGTGCCAGGAAGGCTATGCTGGACATACCTGTGAGAGGTCTGTACTTTTAACAGTTTAACAAAGACTTCTGTCAAGTATAAGATTGATATGTGTACTTTGTTGTAGCACCAACACAAACATGTAGAGGAGAGTGACTAAAGACAGCAACAGAATGAGGAATTGTGGTCAGTTTGTCCTCCAGCCTACAGCAGCAGAACTAAAGGCTCCCACATACTCAGGCGCACTCATTCCCTGAGCCACGCACACTCTGCGCATATCGTCCATAGATGTTTAAGACTTCATACTCGAGCGTACTTCACCTGACGAACTCTTTAATTTCTCGCAATTTCAGTCATGATGTCAAGGATCAGCAGGAAGAGATAGTTTGCATTTTAGCTTTAAAACAATAAAAGAAAAAAGAAAAGAACTACCTTACCCAGGATCAGAGCTATTTCCTCCCACAAATTTGTTGCTTGCTGAAAGTTTTTATATTCCTTCATTGACGCGTCAAAAAGTTTCCTAATCTCCTCCATGAGATGCTTTTCAAGATTTGACTGCATTTCATCTACAAATGACACCGATTCTCAACTTTATCAGCTTGGTGTCGCATCCAAAACAGTACATGCCACTGTGCGCACCGCGGACGCGTACGTAAAAAATTGATCTCTGCGCGGACCAGTCCACTGATGTCCGCCTCGAGTCYGCGTGGACCTCCATGGAGCGAAGTGCGCCCGAGTATGTGGGGGCCTTAAGGAATAACTCAGGAAACCTGTCTAACTATAGGATTTATGAAAAAGGAAAGTCTTCAGTCTAATCTTAAAAGTAGACAGARTGTCAGCCTCACGGACAGAAACTGGAAGTTGGTTCCACAAGAGAGGAGCTTGATAACTGAAAGCTCTGCCTCCCATTCTACTKKTAGAAACTCCAGGAACCACAAGTAAACCTGCAGTCTGAGAATGAAGTGCTCTGTTAGGAAAGTATGGAACAATAAGATGTTTAATCTCCTCAATGTAGATGTGCCCCAGGTTATTATGGAAACCCGCTGGTGATTGGCAGTTCCTGTAGGAGGTGTGACTGTAACGGCAACACTGACCCCAACTTGATCATCAACGAATGCCACAACGTGACGGGCCACTGCCAGCACTGCTGGGGAAACACGGCAGGAGCGAACTGTGAGAGGTGTGCCCCGGGATTCTACGGCGACGCCATCACCGCCAAGAACTGCAAAGGTAGGTGGTGGGACAGGTGGGATTATTTTCATCCAACCGTTGTCTGAGCTGTCTGTTAAAACTGTGTGTCCTGTCCTGTGTGTGTCCCAGAGTGTCAGTGCAGTAAATGTGGCACGTCCTCATGTGATGACAGGACAGGAGTGTGTCACTGCAAGCCTGGAGTCACTGGACAGTTGTGCGACCATTGTGAGGTGAGACAGACCAGGTGACTGATGTTTAACACAAAACAGTATTCAGTCTCCATTTGCAAGTTTTTTATTTTATTGTTATTGGACAATTCAAAGGTTTTTAACTTGTCCTGAATTTGTTCCAAACCTGTCAAAACAGACATTTAAGCAGTGCTATATAAAGTACCTCTAAGTAATACGTACTTAAGTAAAAGTACATGTGTCTTATCATAAAAATACTTTGGGAAAAGTTAAAGTCTTCTCTAAAAATATTACTTGAGTAAAAGTCTTAAAGTATCTGATATTTTTTGTACTTAAAGGCACAGTGTGTAGGATTAGTTGTTTTCAGCGACATCTAGTGGTTGAGTGGTTGAATCA